AGGCGAGCCAGCGCCAGCTGGCCAGATAGAATACCCCATTAACGATACATATCAAAGTGTCCCCAGAACGCCTGGTAACTCTTACTTGCGTTCAAAAATACTCAAACCCCAACCTCGTGGCCCTGAGCGCGCGCTTCAAACCGCGTTGCCCGTCACGACAAGTTCCACTCACCCGAGGCCGTTGGCTCCAAATCGATGTTCATAGCCTCCGCACACCCTTCGCATGCACCACACGCCCCGCACGCCTCCTCCCGCACAACAGACAGCACCTTGGCATCGCGCTCCAACGGGAGGCTAATGTTCGGTCGTATGTTCCAGTGGCGCTCGTGCCGGAGGCGGTCCCCGGACTTGCCCCGGGGTCCCTCCGCGTGGAGCGCACCCCCGCGGCGGCCAGGACATCCACGATTGGCGCGTGGCCAGCTGTCGTCTGCATCCGGTGTACGTACGTACAGCTTAGCCTGGCACAGGTTGGACATCAGATGCGTAAAAAAAGTGGGGTGTGGACATACCCAGGCCAAGCACGAACTCTCCGCCAAGCTGCGAGGCGTCCCCGCCCCGCTCCCATACAGGCATCCCAACGCGCAACGCGTGAGCAACGACCATCGCCAATCCGCTCACTGCGCCGTGTCGCACGTAGGACCCACCGCATGGTCCGTCGAACAGTGCGATTTCTGTGCGCCAGACGAGATGCGACCCATGCCAAGCACCCGATACAACCTCTGGCCTGGGGATGTGTCGACCAAAAGCTCATAGGGAAGGCGGAAGATCTCTGCGAGATGGCCAGTTAGATGGGCGTCGTCCGATAGAAAGAATGAAAGCGCGCGCACGGCGATATGAGCGGATGAGCCCGTACGAGCCACATCCAATGACGATGAGTCGAATGCCTGATCTCGCGAGTACAGCGTGGTCAACGTCGCGCATGACCGACGCGAGGTAGTCCTGACACATTGGGCACCTATATGATATTCGATCAACACCCTTGCCATAACTTCTACTCAGGAAAAGCAGCGCACCAGAAATGCCGGATAAAGATCACCACAGTGCGTTGCAGACGCCACAGCTCGCCGAACTGCACCCTCACGCCGTTCTCGCGCACAACAGGGATGCACGCCGCCTGCGAGAGCTGTTCGAAACTCAAGGATCCTGCAGACGCTGGCTCTGGAGAGTGCGTGCGTGCGCATGGTGATGGTGATGATGCCATGCTTCTCTGATATATGAGGGCTATGTCTGCTATGTGACGACGAAGGCGAGGCCTCGCGCTGTCGTAATGAAGGAGCAGACATCGTCGACATGTGGTCAGCATGAGCTGAGTTTGAAGTCACCCGCATGGTATTTGAGCCCGAAGCATGGGCCATACGTGATGGCATTTGCGTCATTTGAGTGCTGGCGGCGGTGACGGAAGGTTGCTCATCTGTGATGGAGGTACTGGGTGGGTAGTATGCCGGGCCAGTGGAGTATGCGTATGTACAACACGGGGCGGAGCTGCTCCTGCAGGCAGAGTGGAGTGTGACGACACAGACGGGGCGACGTAAACAACATGCGAACCTGGTGTAGTGGGGCTCAAGGACGTCTGTGCTAGAGGGGAGCGATGGACTCGTGGATGTGATAACTCATGATCATGCGCACAGGGCAGAGGTGTGGGCGAAAGCTTCACCATAGGCTCGGGATGTGTGGTAACCGTGGGCGGGCTCGGCAGAGGGCGCGACAATGGTAGCGGCGTCGAGGAACTGCGACCAGGCATAGCCATGTAAGAACCCCGCGATGTCGATCGTTTGTGAAGTGAGGGTGCAGACACGGCCCTGCCTTCACCTCGGCCTTTGGAGGACAGTGCCGTGTAGCATTTGCAGCAACCTGAGTGTGCGCTACCTGAACGCTATCGGTGCTACATTGTGGGGATGCATGCATAATGGGGGGTGCAGAGACTGACGGCTCAGCACCGCACTCCCAACCTCCGGTCTGTGGACCAACGCGTGGGTACTCCTCCAGTTCATTTGACCGGGGAGAAGTTCCCGCAGTTAAGGACGTTGTTCTTGTGTTTTCGGGTACAACGACCAGCTTCTGCGCGACCTTTGGAGGTAAGGTGACTTCTGGGGGCGCGGGGAGAGACGCATCCTCAGCAGCAAGCTTGTCGGCAGCCTCTGCGGCTGCTCTCAGTGTGCTGCGTAGAGATGATGAAGTGCTGCTTCTTCGCGTTTGCAACGCGATAGATTTACGTGCCCGCAACCTGGCAAAGCGCCCGCCGTCACGTTCCACGGACTCGGGCTCTGACTCGGCTGATTGATTTGGGAATCGGAAGTTAAGCGGAAGAGGTAAAGTATCTCGTGGCGTGGACACCCGTCGGGAATTGGAGACGCTGTGCGGAAGTGACGTTGCAAGGGTTGATGGAATTGGCGTGGTACGATGTGTGGCGGGCGTCACAGGTGAAGTGGTGAAGGGTGGTGGTTTGGAAGGAGGGTGTGTGACGGATGTAACTGGAAATGAAAACACGGATGTCGGTGGCAGGGAGACAGGACGACTGCTCCGAATTGAACTGGGTGTTTGCGGGCGAGAAGTAGCAGAGTAGAAGGGAAGGTCACGGGACCAAGAGCCTGTCGAGGATACCGATGGGCTCCGCTTATCAAGGGGTGGCGGAGGGAGGGCGCGCGGAAGACCTTCTGAGCATTTTTCGTCACCCCGAGTTGCAGGTATGTCAACTTGCATGACATGCATGTCCTTGCGTAGTGGCACAGCGCCGTCCAACTGCTCGGATACGCCATCAAGCAAAGTTGCGGACACGAACGAACTGCTGCATGAACGGGGTCGTGCAGAGGCCCCACTCGTCCTCCGTTCCCTACGTGTAGAATTCCCAGATGAGGTCGAAGAAGACGTGGCCACACTGGCACGGCTACCGTATGGAGACAGCGAGTGTCGCCTCGTAGACGACTCCGCGTTGTGCTGGGGCCCTGGTACAGCGCGCGAGTCAAGGAAGGAAAATGTGCCCGATCGCAATGCGAACACGGATTGTGAGCGACGCCGTGCTTCGTGGCGTTGGGTCTCGGTCGCACTTGGGCCTAGTGTGGTGGAAGTCATTGTCGCCGCCGGGGCTTCAGTTCCAGGCGCATACTCGTTTACCCTGAGACCCATAGAGGCCCCTTTGCGCAGTTGGGACGCGTGTCCCTGCCAACCGCTTTCTGCAGATGGGAATCCGAGCGCGGTCGACTTGCTGCGCTGGTGCACAACGAAGGTAGCGAGGTCGAGCATCCTAGAGGACGCAGGGGTCGAGTCTGGGATCGCTACCGGGGATTCGTAGGGAGAATTCGTGAGTGTAGCGGTGCGATCGCGGAGGACAGAGAGTGGGGCGAAAGGGTCACTTGGATCCGGCTCTGGGTAGCGCATCGAGTACGGAAACGGCGGCGGCAGCTTACGCTCGACACGGTGCGCACCAGCATCTTGGTGTGACTCAGAGGACATGACACCCAAGTATGCCAAAATACAGTTAGCAATACGCGGTGGGGTGGCACCTCGGTCTCTAAGGGAAAGATGGGGAGAAATGGGAATGCATTCATGGGGGGCAGGGCAGGTTGAAGTAAGTCGTAAAATGAGGGGGGAACGTTGGTATGGTGCGAGACGGCCACGTTGGTGCAGCGTGGTCGGAGACCTCTTCTCACGGCTTTTGCCGGGACAAACACACGGTGCTTCAAGGCGGGCTGTTCGCCTTCATCAATGGCAAGGATGCAAATCCTGACCCGAGCAGGCATCAACTCGCGGGACGGAGATCCTTGAATCAACATTTAAATTCGTCGCCACTACGGTGTACCCGGGCGAGGTTGAAGTGAGGCCCCAAAAGCCTATCGATGAATTAAAAGCGCCCAAGAAGACGGCAGGCACCTCGACGAGTGAAAATCCGGAAAAAACAAAGAGGGAACGCCACAACCCGGAAGGTTGACGGTGGGTGCCGCTGTATTTGCCGCGTCCGGGGTGCATTGACTAATACGTCGAACATGTCACCGTGTTTATGGTCGGTGCAACAAAAGACACTGACGGGGAACGTGCATATCCAGTGGGCCGAATATACGTCTTGTGAAATGGAACTACCATACGTGTCGTGACCATGAAAATTTTTTGGCAAATTCTCTTCTCCGTTGCCACCATAACCCCGAGTTCGTGGACGCACGTTCATCATCGGTCCGCACTGTGCTCGAGTATTCCACGAATACTGGCGACCACCGATGTGCCAGTTGAGATGGGATAGCTAATGAGATGGTGGGAGAGATGGGAGAAAGCCAGGGTCATCAGAAGTACAGTAGATGGTAGCTGAGGGAACGGTGGCTGCTTATCGCTCGGAAATGAGCGTGTGATTGTGAAGAAAATCGCTAGTGCTTGGCAAGGCAACGCGATTGGCAGCACAACTAGTCGAAGGGGGGCAGGAAGTTCCAAAATAAGGAGGATAGCGTTTACGAATGAGTCAACTGTGTGGACACCTAGTTGTCCTATCGTAGAATCCGCAAGCGGAGCGGGTACGACAAGGAATACGAGACTAGGAAACACACCGAACAATCCTACAAAAATGGAACGAGCCCGCGCGGACTGGAAGGAAGACGAAAAGGCTAGAAGATCGCATGCGTGCGTCCCAGAAGAAGTGGCAGAGGAACATCATGACTACATGCGGTTTCGACTGAGCGTGCCAGACCTTCCGCTTATTCTCTCGATTCGACGACTTGGAAGAGCGCACCTAATTTATTGCAGGGATGTTCCTGTCATATTTCTAGCCATGACGCATAGAGGCAGGTCACAGTCGAGCGCAGGATTAAGACCAGGAATCAGAAATTTATTGAAACAGGTAGTGATGCCAATGACAGTGGCACTGACAAGAATATGCTTTCAACTCAGGTTCAACGGGGAGAGGTCAGGAACTGGGAACTGGACAGGTGTAGCTGAGGTTAGGAAGAGAAAAGGTGAGAAGAGAAAAGGGGGCGAAGACGCAAAGAAATGTATTGATAATCAACATGAACTTGTGCTGTGCCGGGGTAGCTCAGCTGGGAGAGCAACAGACTGAAGAACAATGCATTCTGGAGGTCCCGTGTTCAATCCACGGTCCTGGCATTTTTTTTCACTTTAAATTCATGATTTTTTTGCCACCCCCCAGTTGCCACTCGCCATGGCAACAACTTGAATACCCAGAACGTGATTAATATTGGTGATTGCAGCCTCATAGGCCAAGATCACCCGGTGAACCCGCCGACTGGATCAAACCGTCATTTGCTATGACACGAATAATTAAGACTGCTCAGCGAGTTGCGTCTCCTTCTTTGGCGGCCGCGCACCGAAGATGCCCGTCCCAACGCGCACGATATCCGCGCCCGCCCTCAAGGCCAGCTCAAAATCGTGCGACATACCCATGCTCAACAACAGCCTCCTCCCCCTCTCCGCCGCCCCACGTTCCCCCGGGCCCCCAACATCCCCCTCCCCCTCCACGTCCCCACGCCCATCATCCTCGCCCCACACTCCATCATCCGGCAGCGCCCGCACAAGCCGATCCCGCGCCCCGCGCAGCGCCGCAAAATCCGCCTCCCCACCGCCCGGCGCGCCGATCGTCATGAGCCCGACGAGGCGCAGGCGCGGACACGCGCGTACGACGTGCGTCGCGAGCCGCACGAGCTCCGCCTCCGCTTCCCCCGCGCCGGTGGCGGCGGCGGTGACGCTAGTGATCCCGCCCTTCGCCTCCTCGCCCGACGTGTTGAGCTGTATGAGCACGCGGAGCGGCGCGTGCGCCAGTGCGCGGTGCCGGTTGAGCGCGTCGGCGACCTTGGTGCTCGCGAGTGTCTGTACGGCGTATAGGTTCTCGATACCTAAGTGTGCGCTCTTCGTCGACCACGAAAAAGACACAAAGACGGAGGGGACAAACGGAGGGGAGGGGGGAGGGAAAAAACTACGTACTTGCGAGCGCTTTGGCCTTGTTCGACTGCACCGTGCCGATAAAGTGCCATCGCACGTCGCGGGGTAACACCGCCGCCTTGTCGACGAGCTCCTGCGCGTAGTTCTCGCCAAAGTCGCGCTGGCCTGCGTCGTAACATGCGCGCACGTCTGTTGAAGGTTTGTATTTGGATACGGCGACGAGAGTTGGCGGCGGGCGTCGCGGCGAGCTGGACACGGCAGCAGCGACCCGAGCACGGATCTCGCCGAGTGCTGTATGCAGTTCTGCGATTCGTTCTTGCGAGGGAGGTGATGACGTAGCACTCATAATTTCTGCGTCTGCGCGGAACTGAGCGTAATATCGATGGTGGATGACACGGATGCCAAGGGCTGATGGGCGCATCTCCTGCCGAGTCTGCCCAGAACAGGAAACCGGCTGCGATGGAGTGCCGCGGCGCCACTCATCCAAACCATATTGATAAGACATCATCCCGCTATCCCACTCAAATGCACACAAGTCACAAATGCTGTACAGTCAATAACACAAAGTACATAATAAGTAGACGTACAACATCGGCGTACTCAACATCATACATGGAGTCGACGAGAATAGGGAAGGAGATCAGTGTGCCACTGGCACGTCGAGGGGGGTTGCGTGATTATGCGTGGGCTATGAGAGTACGAGGTACGAGCTGGGGGTGTGTTTTATGCAGTGTGAATGCAAGTGCGTAGAGAAGGGGATGTTGACGAGATGGGGATACTAAACGCATGATACAAATATCGGGGACAGGGGGCAGAGACTAAAGAAACAAACAGCGAAACGTAAGGATGGGGGGTGGGGAGAGATAGAGAGGAAGGGACGATAAGGAGACACTGTCAGTAGTTTTAATGAGAGCCTCAAACATGCAAATACTTCTCGTTGAGGAGGTGCACCTCGCGCGCCAGGTAAGGCCAATGAGCACAACGCGCAAGCTCCACACGCAGACGTTCCGTGTCACCTGCTGCGCGCTCGTGCGCGAGCTTCACTTCCCAGACACAGAGATTATATAGCAAGCGCATGTTTGGCTGAATTAATACGCTCAGGCGGCGTGAGCGTACAATGAGGTATGCCTCTGCGAGGGAGATCCCCAGGTATTTCATGACGTAGGCGATGGTAACCGTCGCACTGCGCGACACGCCTACGCGACAATGCACGAGCACTTTGCCACCTTGCTCGCGCGCTCGATCAATCCATTCACAAACCGGGGCCAGTTGGGGTTCGAGTGTATCGATGCCATCGTCGCACACCCCTTTAATATCGAGAACCTTAATACGGCCCTCGCGCTCCTCGGTGTACAGGTTGCCTCGCTGTTCTGATCCCCCATGCACTACGATAGGACTGGGCATTTTTCCGGCAGAGGAGTCAGTGGGAGGTGGAATGAGGGCACATTCCCCGACCGATACCACATGTGTGATTCCAAGGGCGTGGAGCATATACGCGTTCGCTGCGTGATTTCTGCGGGGTCCATCTGATATCAGGAATTTGATACGGAAGGACAGATAGAATACGCACAGGTTTCCGAGGTACAAGAATGGCAATACACGGCTAGGAAAGCTTCCGTCGAACCGGGGGTCATCAAACCAGACCTGGTGGTCATCCACAACTGATGGTAATAATGGACTCGTGCTTGCCCGTGGCCGTCGCATTGATGCTATGGGGGCATTTCCTGTCTCCTCGTAGGACGCAGACATTGGACTCGAATTGGCACCAAGACGGAGAGAATTAGCACGCGCGGGTCCAGAGAGAAAACGACGGGGGGCATGCATCTTCACTTGTCGCTCAATGGCTTTCAGCAACCGAACATCGGTCTCGTAGACGAAGAAACTGCGCTTCTTCGCAACCTATATCGAAGATTGTATAAGTATCAATGATGAGTATGTACACCAACGAGCTCACCTGGAGTTCAAGATACGCCTCCGGAAGCGTCACACCACGCATCGTCATGATCAACGACAGAGCGAGTACACTGCTCTCAGTATATCCGTCTGAGCTCCAAATCAGTATCTTCGCAGGTCGCCCAAAGCCGCGCAACTGGTTGGGCTTCAGCAACTTCTCCAGGAAATCCAGAAACAGGGTCATTTCGTCGATGATGGGGAGCAAAGGGAAGGGAAGGTACACAATAGCCGCGGCGTTCGGCGGAGGACGCGGACCTTTCCCACCGGAAACCTGCCAACGCCGCTCGAGCTCCATGAGATGCTCCTGGGCACTCAGGAAAAAGCCCACGGAGGGGCGTGGCGCCCGAAGTCGACACTCGATGCATACATCATAGCCCATCCCATCAGCGGGTGAGTTTCCTGCGCTGTCGAGTAGATCGATTCCTCGCGTGGAAGGATCACCCAGGTTACCGGGGAAGAACGGCACATCGTTGACATTCCCGAGGAAGACCTGACCGACGGCAGGTGCCCAGGAGTGAATGTCCGCTAACTTGTCATCCTGGTCAGGAGGCTGGACGGTAAGGATCTCGCTGGCACGAGTGAGCTCTCGCATTTCGTCCTTCTCCCGCTGGGGAAAGTTGATTGTACGTGGGCCGACGAGAAGATGTCGCAACTTGGTACGCAACTCGGCGGGAGCGGCATCAAGCACGAAGACATGATACGGAATGCGAGAGCCAGCGCGCGCTTCTACAGCCTGCTTGAACTTCTCCGCAACGGCGAACGCTGCCCGGGTTGCCCCTCGGCGGGAATAGACGACAATGTCCGAAAGAGTTGCGTAAATTGGCTGGATAGGATAGTGGCAGTTGAGCAAATGTGCGGGATTAGAATAGCCAAAACGAGTCGGGGAAGAGAAGAGTAAGCCGCTCCACCCGAAAACGCTAAACCGATCGTCACCTGAGGGACAGGGGTAGAGCGGGGCGTTGTTTCGTTTCCCTTTTGGGGATGTGGCGCGGGGATGAATAATCGCCTAACTGGGTTGGGCCAACCGAAAGGGCCATCACGTCCACGAATGATGTTTCAGACTCTCAAAAACGAAGCGCATCAAGTTCCCCGCAATGGTCACCTGACCCCGCGGGGTAAGGGAGACGCCCATGGCAGCAATTAATGATGGATCAAGCAGTCCACTCGAGCGCGAGCGACGGAACAACGGAGACACCACGGCGAAGACGACGAAGATATGACAGAAGGACACGTACCAGTTGGATGTCGAAGTTCCGCAACGAGATACCATCAGGGACTCGTAGAGGGATAAATTCAGCATTGCCGTCAGCGTTAAGCTGGAGGAGATCCCGTGGCTTGAAACCATGTGCGATGAGAGGAGCAGTACGAGGCTGAGGTTCAGGGGAGGGCAGTTCAAGGGGTATACATGAGGATGGAGGAGGCGAGCCGAGTGAAGTGGCCGGGGTGGACGGTGACGGCATACTCAGAGACTGGAAAGACGAGGCGGAACTCGATGACGCCGAAGTGCTCCGGTCACGGGCCACGGTCATATTGGTATATATGCGCGGAGCACGGCTCTGTACTGGGTGCATGTGAGTCGCACTATCCGGATCTGAGGGGTCGCAAGTGGGGTCGAGAGGCTTAGGCGAGGGGGAGGGGGAGGTCGAAGGGAGGGGGCTAGGCGCTTCTGGGGTGTGGCTGTGATGCAGGTCCAGGTCGCTATCTATGTCCATGTCCATGTCCAGCCCGAATGATTGTGCAATGTCACCGCCATCACTCCCAGGCTCGTCGTCAGAGTCATCGCTGGGAACGAGGTCCGAGTCGTCGCCCTCGTCGCTGGAGGGGACGTCGTCGTCTTCACACGCGACCCAAATCAAGCCGCGGAAACGAGGAGGGCGTACGGGGGAGTCAGAGGTGACGGAGAAAAAGGCTTTTTGTTGCTCATTGTCGCCTTCGAGGCCATGGAGAAAGGGGAAGAGGACATGGTCCGGCGCATGGGAATTGGTGGCGGAATGATGGATAGTTACAAACTGGGACGCAGAGAGAGCGCGGATGGGAGTATGTGGGGCAGGACGAGAGAGGAGGACAGGGAGAGAGGGGAGAAAATCTGGGGGATAATTGAGACCGTGTACGATATTGTCCTCGGTGGAGGGGACGGGCGCAGAGCTCATGTGTGGTGGATTGTGATGATGTTGTGGGAAAGGAAAGCGTGGGTGGTTGTGTGGTTTAGAGTGAAATGAGAGCGCCTGCGCGCTTGGTCGTGAGTTCACATCTCA